GTGTGTGTAATAGTTGTATGACCTTAAGAAACAGAACCATATAACATGTCTTCTTAATTTCTTCAATTGGAAAAAAAAGAATATGAAAAGCTGATTTAGTGGTGAATCCTCTGGCACAGCAAGTGTGATAATAGTAGATAAGAGTAGCCAGCAGTGAACCCAGACCACTGGACAATGAAAATAGTCACCACACCAAGGAGAGAAAGACACAGACAGAAAGACTCTTAAGGAAAAAAAACCACAATGTGTATCACTGTCCCAACCCCAATACTCAGACACATGTGCACACACACATACACACACTTAGGAGGGTCAGCCACTCATTAAACAGACATTCCTGCAGATCTACTGTGTTTCATACACTATTTTGGGATCTGAGGGCACATCAGTGAACAAGGCAGGCATGACCTCAGTCTATCAGGGAGGAGACATTTGTTCCTCCACAGTCACATAATTGTACCTGGGAAGGATTTTAGTTCAGTGCTCATCTGTTTGATCTCATCGAAAGCTGAGGTGAGCTGAGGTAAACTCTCAAAGATGGGAAATGAGGGATGAAAAGAAGGAGAAAATTCCAGGCAGACATAGAGGTTCTAAGGAAGCAGAGAGAGCAGCACACATGGGGAAACCATGTGTGAGACCATCTGCTCTACCTCACTGTCATCTGGAAGCTCCACAGAAATGCAGGTTCTCAGGACCCACTCCATCCCTCCTGACTCAGAATCTCAGGTGGGGAAGCTTCCTTCAGTGAGCTTTCTGACTGAGCAGCCTGTCCAGGTGACATTTGAGCATAGTGATTTGCGAGCCACTGGTCTAGAGGTCATTGAGCAGGAAAGGGTGACATAGGAGGATCCAAAGGTGAACAGAGACCACAGCAAGAACTATGACCCATCCTAAGAACCTTCTGTTTCTCCCCAGAGGAAATGAGAGGCTTTCTAGCACCTCGGCTATGAAGGGGCATCTCTACCCATTTTTTATGGTGGCTACCACATAGAAAATGAACTAGAAGGAACCAGATCAGAAGCAGGGATGCCTGCCAGAGGATGCTGCAGAGGTTCAGGACACTGCTCACTCCATACCGGGACAAGGATGGAGTCTGTAGAGGGGGAGAGTAGAGAACAGAAAAGAGATCTAGAAGGTACTGTCTAGGTGATTAGCATTGAGGGTGAGTGATTATTAGTTTGTATTGTGCAGTTATAACACAATGTCTGACACTGGGCACTTAACATAAAGAACTTAAGATTATTTCTTGCAGTTCTGGATACAGGGAAGGGTAAGGGCATGGACCCTGCATCTAGAAAAGCCCTTCTTCCTGTTCCATCCAACTGTGCAATTGGGAAGGCTGAGAGTGAGAGGCCAAGGTGGCTTTAGTGACAAGTCCTGTCAGGCCACAGGAATCTATGTCTGTGATGATAACATTAACTCCTTTGTTAAAGCAGAGCACTCATGATCTCACTGTGTCTTATCCTTCATCCCATCAGCACTGTGGCTTTGGGGATTATCCTTCCTATGTATGAACATTGGGATACACATTCAAACTAGAGCAAAGGAAGGGTTGATGTGATGATCCCAGTTCTGGGGTATGGACACCCAGGATAATGGGGGCATTCTTAGAGATACAACCCAGAAAAGAATCATAAGACTGAGTTCAAATTCAAATGCCTTAGATTTTATGTGGGCAT